GCCATGGAGGGCCTTTGCAGGGCTTCCTTGCACTCCCGCCGGCCTTGCAGGTCCACCGCCGGGCCCCTCATGGGGCTCGGCAGTGGAGCTGCAAGGCCGCCGCCAGCGGCCGGGACCGTTGGGGGCGGGGTGGGTGGCCTTATGACACACTTCCGGTGATGTCAGGGGGTGTGGCCGTATGACACACTTCCGGTGATGTCAGGGTGTGTGGCATATGCTAATGAGTTATGCTAATGAGTTCCCCTAGCTCTTCTTCTACGAAACGACCCCTGCTGAGGCCCCTCCCCTCCCCAAACCCCGCCCTTTCCCGGATCCACCCCCAAAGTCTCCAGGTATTTTCCAACCCAGACCTGGCAAGCCGACCAACTTCCCTTCCATAGTCTCTTGGGTTTTTCTTTCTGACCAGTAGAAGAACGCTCAGGTTTTCCAGTTAAACAGAATTCTTCACCAAGCACTAAAGCAAAGCTGCTTGTTCCCCAGTAGATAGAGGGCAACGCTACCCATTAAATCCGAGCAGAAGGTTAAGATGGATAAAAAAAATCCCTGGGGAAGGATCTTCTCTTTCTTGCCCTCACCCTAGAAACAGACGTCACAGTTAATTTTCCCTCCCTTCATCTTCCCGGTGCGAATTTCCCCATTTTCAGATGGCAAGTTCCAGTATCTTTCATAGTAATGGGATACAGACAGCTGTCGCAGTGTTGGTCCCAGAGATTAAGAGAGACAAAATGGGTTTAGGTGATAACTTTATTACAACATTAGGGAGCACGGAAGAGCACTAGCAAACGGCGCCGACATCTCTTGTCTCTCAGGCAAAATTCAAAGTGTCGGATTCGACAACCGCAGTGTGGAATTCAGTCCCCAGTTTGGGAGGGGGGGGGAGGCTTATTCCTGTTTTCTCAGACCTGTGTTGTAGCCTGGAGGAAAGGCCCTGTGTTTCAAAACTGGTGCAAGAAGCCTTTGAAATCCGGGGTGGGGGGGGGGGTGTCACTTGATGGTGTGATCCCGGGGCTTGTGAGGTCTTGGCCAATTCTTGTAGCCTGTGCCTTCGGGGTAGGAATTGGAACAAAACTGCTACTCACCTAGTGCAAGAGGTTTGAGTACCTTTCCTATGAGGAAAGGCTGAAGAGTCTGGGACTTCAGGGTCTAGAACAAGGCTTCCCAACCTTTTTGAGCCTATGGTAAGAGAGCCAGTTTGGTGTAGTGGTTAAGTGCACAGACTCTAATCTGGGAGAACCGGGTTTGATTCCCCACTCCTCCACTTGCTGGATGGCCTTGGGCAAGCCATAGCTCTGATAAGAGCTGCCCTTGGAAAAGAGCAGTTTCTGTCAGAGCTCTCTCAGCCCCACTTACCTCACAGGCAGTGTTCCCTCTAAGCTGAGTTAGTGTGAGCTAGCTCACAGTTTTTTAGCCTCCAGCTCACAGATGTTTGTCTAAGCTCAGGAACGATGGCTCCAGAGCAAACTAATTGATGCAGTAGTCAAATTGCTCACTCACAACTTTAATGCCAGTAGCTCACAAAGCAGAAATTTTGCTTACAAGACTCCACAGCTTAGAGGGAACATAGCTCGCAGGGTGTCTGCTGTGGGGAGGGGAAGGGAAAGGAGTTCGTAAGCCGCTCTGAGACACCTTTGGGTAGTGAAGGGTGGGGTATAAATTCAATCTCTTCTTCTTATGGGCACTAGGGTTGATAGGTCCCGTATTCGCTCCGGCAGAGGATTGGGGGGGGCGAGGACATCACACAACATCCCCAACACAATGACGTCACCCGGAAGTGACATCATTGTGTCAGGGATGTCACGCGGGGAACACTCTGGCATTGGGAGAAACTCTATGGTTTCCTTGCCCTCAAACCATAGAATTTGCCCAAATACCAGAGCATCCCCATGCGACATCTCCAACGCGATGGTGTCACTTCCGGGAGACGGCATTGTGTTGGGGATGTCACACAGAGATGTCCCTGTTTAGGGGCAGGGTTTTCCCCACCGGCCAGCTGATCCGCGACGGGGAGAAGCCTAGTGAGTACTTTTGGAATTCTGGGTCAGCATGGTGGGTGCAGCCAGAAAATGGCTGCTGCAGGAGGCAGAGACAAGCACAAAATGGCTGCTGCAAGTTTTCCTTCAGTCACACAAGGAAGATCCTTGTGCAGTGGGGGCAGGTACTGTCAAAACTATTTTTAAATATATATATATCTGTACCACTAATCAAATCTCCAGTGGCCAATCAGAAGCCTTGCTGGGCAGAAGACCCACCTGGCCGTGCCCACTTTCTAAAAACACTTGGCAGGTGGCAAGAAGGGTGTCGGCAGGCGCCATGGATCCTGTCATGTTGGGGACCCCGGGTCTAGAAGAAAGATAGCGTGAAGTGGAGAGAGATAACTTTTCCTCCCCCTCTCTCTCCCATAATGCTAGAACTCAAGTGCACCCGATGAAGTTGATAAACAATACGTTCAGGACAGACACAAAGGAAAGTCTTTACTCAGCAGGTAATTAAATTATGGAATTTACTGCCAGTGGCCATACAGATGGCCACTGGGGTAGATGGTTTTGGAAGGGCGCTAGACAGATTTGTGGAGGAGAGGTCCATCAAAGGCCATGGTGATTAAAGGGAGCCTCCATCTACAGGGGCAACAAATGCCTGAGTACGGATTCTAGGAGGCGGCAGCAAGTGAAGGCCTTTCCTCTATGTCCTGTCTGTTGGCTCTCCGGGGCAACTGGTTGACCGCTGTGTGAAACAGGATGTTG